ACTTGGATTCTTCCAATAGTATGGATAAGGCATCCTTATGGCATTGTCGTCTTGGACATGTCAACAAGAAACGCATAGCCCAACTCCAAAAGGATGGAGTGTTGGAGTCATTCGACCTTAGGGAAGATGACACATGCGAGTCTTGTTTACTTGGAAAGATGACTAAGTCACCCTTCGCTGGTACGTGCGAAAGGGGTGAGGGTCTATTGGACCTCATACATACCGATGTGTGTGGACCGTTTAGATCTACCACGAAGGATGGAACCACTTCTACGTGACTTTTACCGATGACTATAGTAGATATGGGTATATCTACTTAATCAAGCAAAAGTCAGAAACTTTTGAAAAGTTCAAAGAGTTTAAGAATGAAGTGGAGAATCAATTGGGCAGGAAGATCAAGATGCTTCGATCCGATCGAGGAGGAGAGTACCTAAGTCTTGAATTCCACGATTATCTCAAGGAGTGTGGAATAGTTTCACAATTGACGCCACCTAGGACACCACAATTGAATGGTGTGGCATAAAGGCGTAATCGAACCATGTTGGACATGGTTTGCTCTATGATGAGTCGTGCTTTACTATCTATCTCTTTTTGGGGGTATGCCTTAGAGACTGGTGCCCATATCCTTAACCGAGTCCCTACTAAGAAGGTTACCAAAACACCTCACGAGATGTGGACGGGGAAAGCTCCTTCGTTAGCACATATCAAGGTTTGGGGTTGCGAGGCTTTCGTAAGACGAGATACTCACGACAAGCTCGAACCTCGTAGTGAGCGATGTATTTTCATCGGCTACCCGCAGAAATCCTTTGGATATCTCTTCTATAGACCGAAGGACAATGTTGTCTTTGTTGCGAGGAGAGGAGTTTTCCGAGAGCGAGAACTCATAAGCCAAGGAGACAGTGGGAGGCAAATCGATCTTGAAGAGATTCAAGAGTCGATAGATGAAGGAACCTCAACCGCTGGCACTCAACCCGAGGAGGAAACTCCGGTTGAACCAATTGACATATCATTACCTCTTAGACATTCCGAGAGAGTTAGGTTTCAACCCCAGTTGTATGCTTTTCATATTACTACCGAAGGTGACATGTATATTAGTGATAGTACACTAATAAATCTTGATGAACCTAATAGCTATAAGGAAGCCATGGTAGGCCCAGAATCTGCGAAATGGAAAGAGGCAATGGATAGTGAGATCCAATCCATGTATGATAACCAAGTTTGGAATTTGGTTGATAATGTGCCTGGACGTAAGACCGTTGGGTGCAAATGGATCTTCAAGAAGAAGACCGACGTGGATGGAAAGGTACACACGTTTAAAGCGTGATTAGTTGCGAAGGGCTTTACTCAAACTCCCGGAGTTGACTATGAAGAGACCTTCTCACCAGTTGCGAAGATAAAATCTATTAGAGTGATGCTAGCTATTGCTGCATTTCATGATTATGAGATTTGGCAAATGGATGTCAAGACCGCTTTCCTTAACGGGAAGTTGGCTGAGGATGTTTACATGGCTCAGCCAGAGGGGTTTGTGGATCCGAAGCATCCGAATAGAGTGTGTAAGCTTGAGAAGTCCATTTATGGACTAAAGCAAGTGTCTCGCAGATGGAATCTTTGCTTCGATGAGAAAGTCAAAGAGTTTGGATTTGTACGAAGCGAAGATGAATCATGTGTATATGTCAAAGCTAGTGGGAGTGTAGTAAGCTTTCTCGTTCTATATGTCGATGACATATTGCTCATAGGAAACGACATCCCGACTCTGTAGGAGGTTAAGTCCTGGCTCGGGAAGTTCTTCACTATGAAGGACCTCGGAGAGGCTTCCTATATTTTGGGAATAAGGATAGTAAGAGAAAGAAGTAAGAGACTAATAGGACTTATTCAGAACACTTACTTAGAGAAGGTACTAAAACGTTTTAGTATGGAAAACTCGAAGAAGGGAGAATTACCGATACAAAGCAATGCCAAGTTGAGTAAGACTCAAAGTCCGAGTACCGAAGCCGAAATAGCTGAAATGAGCCGAGTTCCATACGCTTCCGCAGTTGGCTCAATCATGTATGCTATGACTTGTACTCGCCCTGATGTAGCCTTTGCTTTGAGCATGGTTAGTAGATATCAAGGGAACCCTGGAAGATCCCATTGGGTTGCGGTGAAGAATATCCTTAAGTTCCTTCGGAGGATGAAAGAATGGTTCTTAGTCCTCGGAGGGAGTGATGACTTGAAGGTGCAAGGGTATAGTGACGCCAGTTTTCAGACCGACAGGGACAACTACCGTTCGCAGTCGGGCTGGGTCTTTACCCTGAATGGAGGAGCAGTAACTTGGAAAAGTTCCAAGCAGGAAACCGTAGCTGATTCAACGTGCAAATTAGAGTACATTGCAGCGAGTGAAGCATCGAAGGAGGCAATATGGCTAAAGAACTTCATTGGTGATCTTGGAGTTGTACCTGCCATAAAGAAGCCCATGGAGATTTTCTGTGATAATGAAGGTGCGGTTGCCTTGACCAAGGAACCGAGAGATCATGGTAGATCACGACATATCGACAGAAAATATCACTTTATTAGACATCGTGTAGAAGGACAACTCGTAGTGAAGAGGATATCATCAGAAGATAACCCAACAGATCCGCTTACAAAGGGACTGAGTAGGGTTAAGCATTTGCAGCATGCTAGGAGTATTGGGCTGAAGGATGATATTAGCATAGATTAGATAGTATTAGAAACGTGTAATAGATAAATGTAATTGACATTTGATGATTAAATAAAGGAGTTTTATTTATAAGTAATGTTACTAGCTTATGTTAATTGTTTAACTATTGTTTCACTTTGCATGTTTTGACTTCCAGAATAATTGAGTTTATTAATAGTCCACAATCGTTCATAAGTAGATATGAATGAAGATTGTCATGAATAGGTGTGTAGAGTGTCTGAATGGTGTTAGACATAGCAAAAGATTGCTGCAACGTTCATGAGTGCTTATGAACTAGGTTTCACTACAAGAAAAACAACCTTTTACGACGCGCAATTTATGATACGCATTGATGTACGATACGTAAAAGTGTGTGACCTAAAAATAACGTCATCTCTCTATAAATTTTAAGGATTTAGAACGTGCATTTTTGCGTGCCTTTAAATTAGCATCTAAAAAAACACGGAGGGGCCTATAATAAAATGTGTGTCGTCTGAAGACGTCGCTTTATAAAAATCCTGCCTCCCTTTTTCTTCCATTCCCTCTTTGCCCTAATAATAGACGTCGATCAAGCACGCCACCAACCGACAACCTTCACTCTCTCCTTCTCCTTTTATCTGTAAACCCTAATCCGCCTCCATCACTACCAATCTACTGCAACTCACCTCTGCTCATCTCTTTCTGATCACTGCTAATGAACCTATTTTGTGTTTAATTTGGGAGCAAATCGCGATTTTGTACACCTGAAGCCTAGATGAAAAAAATCGACCCCTACTCCTTTGATGTGTTCTAATTTAATACCGTATCCAGGTTAAAATCAACCATTGCAGCAGAGCATCTTCCTGGAACTTTGAAGCCGCCACTTCTTGGAACTTTGAAGCCGCTTTGTCAAATAGAGTTTGAGCTTCTTCACTTGTTACGGTTTCTTCCAAAGCTTTGGAATACAATTCCATTCCGATCTCGTGTAAGTCGATATGAGCATCTGGGTCTATTCCGATGTGGGTTCGGGAATAACTGACTGAATTCAAACAACCAATCGTCGATTTTAACTTCTTTCAACTCTGGATCATCAGGTATTTTTTTGGCTTCCTTTTCCGGTTTTTGTTCACTTTTGAAATTGGAATGGGACCCATTGTTTTCTACTTCAATACTCTCGATCTCAACCGGCTTTTCTTCTTCCACTTCTTCTAACAATGGTGGCTCCTGCTCAGGGGTAATCTCGACCATATGCAATTTCAAAACCTCAGACTTTGTTTTTAAGTAGTTTCATAGTATGAAGTATCTTCCTGTTGAAATGGAATACGTTAATGTACCTTGGTTAAAATGGGATGACACTGGTGTTGTTCCTTCGACTCCAATAATATAGACTCCAAAACTGCAGGACCCATCTCAGGTAATTAAATTATTCATCATCTCTTGTTAGTTTATGTAAAACACAAGAATCACCTTTTTTAAATGTTTAACCCTGTACCATTGAATTTTCAACTTTGGATTGTATGGTGCAGGATTTGGAATTGATCCAAGAACAACAGGGCAACAGCAGCAACCATGGAAGTTGGGACCCACCTCTACATAATAAAAGTGTTGATTCAACGAATAGAAGGGAAAGTAAAAGCAAAAGCCATGATGGATGTTTGGACATGAACACATATTTGGAGCTTTAGAAGAATAAGCAGATCATGTTTGATAGGTGTTGTTTGATAGTTGATGTTAAACTTTGATCTTTTATTATACATTTGGTAACTTTCTTCCTTTCCAATATGCAGGATTTTCAAGAATTACATCCCTATCTATTACATGGGAAGAAAATCAAGGATGATTTCCTTAACACTTCAGTTCAAGATTTGGTAACTTACATGAATCCAGTGTTTCTAGCTTACATATAAGGAACTGACATCTTAGTTTTTCCAAATTAGATTTTGTGTATTACAAGGTGTTTATCAGCCTTCATTTTTTCATTTAGAACAAGATGTTCTAGTCTTCATTTTTTCGTTTAGAAGTCTTCATATCTTGGTTGATTCCGTGAAATTCTATCCATGGATTTAACATCCATTTAGGAACACTCGATATGATATCCATGGACCTTTCAAACATACAATGATGATGATTTTGTCAAAATTACAGTTGTTCTTTTTTATTTTTTTTTTCTCATCAGCCTCATTGGCATATTAAACTGGTATTAAAGGTATTAAAGGTAGAGTTTTGCACATTTAAGTTATACCTTGTGACATGAATCTTGTATGTAAACACCAACTGCATGTATAGATATAGATACAAAATTGTAGATATATAGAGAAAGTGTGTATATAAATTTTGCCCAGGAATGAGGGATGCACTGAAGAACAAGATACTCTCATGTCGGCCATCAGGTATGTAAATTTTAAAATCGGAATTTTATGTCCGTTTCAGTTTTGGAATTGGAAAGATTGAAACCCTTAAACCTTTTTTTGTTTGTGATTTGTGCAATTTTCTCTTCTTGGGTGCATCCTTTGATTTGGAAGTTTTCATCAGATTCTTCTATCAGTTTACACAGGTTATCTGTTGTTTTGATGCTTAAAGTTGGCAATTATTTAATTTTTATTAATTTTTTATATTTTTATTTAGGGCATGAAACCTCTATTCTTACAGGGTTCTTAAGGTTCATAAGGTTCAATACTTTCCATTTCACTTGTTGCTATTTTTAATTGCAACTAAAATTGAAGGTAATCTCTTTTCTCTTCCTCCTCCTGATATGTAAAAGTAATAGTCAAACGCACACTGTATTTTATCAGCTCACGTTCTTAAGTTACAACCTAATTTTGTAATATCATTTTTTTAGTTTTATTTTATTTTATTTATTTATTTATTATTTAGGAGTTGTTTGATCATCAGAGTCAAAATATTTTCAATTTTGTAGAATTGTCAACTGTGACTTTTGTTCTTTTCTGTGTTCATGTTTATGTTTACGGAACTGTTAGCTAGGCTAGACACATATCAAGATCCTACCATTTATGCATAAGAGTCTTTTATTTTAATTCTATTTTTCCTTTTTAGTTTTTTTTTGCTCGACTTGTGTTGTGTATTTTATGATGATTCCAGACCTCTGATCCGAATTATAGGCGATCGATTCCCATGGCAAGTGAAAAGTGCTATTTTATCAACTTTGACCATCATAATAGCAAAAGGTGGGATGGCACTTAAACCTTTTCTCCTACAACCACAAACCACCTTTGTCAAATTCTTGCAGGACAACCCAAGGTAAGACTTGTTTTATACTACTGTCTTTTGTTGATTATTCGACTTACAAGGGCATTCTCATCAATTTGCAGGAGTGTTCGTTCAAGTGCTGCTCTTGCACTTGGTAAGCTTAGTGCACTAAGCACAAGAGTTGATCCCCTAGTTGGGGGTCTTCTATCTAACCTATATACATCAGAAGGTGGGGTCCGTGAGGCAATATTGGTCGCCCTAAAAGGTGTTGTCAAGCATGCTAGAAAGAGTGTTAGTGGTTCCGTTAAGACACGTGTTTTTGATCTCTCAAACGAGTTGATCTACAATGATGATGATCAAATACGAAGCTCTTCAGCAAGAATTCTAGGCATCATATCAGAGGTTCAGTTCAGTACATTCACTTGCATTTATAGCATCTGTTCCACCTCTGGGATTTTCCACCTATGTAATTTCACAACAGCACCTGTCAACATTTGGTTGTGAGTGCAGGTAAAAAAGAAACGAGTTGGTCGGGATGGATTAATAGATGGGCTGGTCCCTCCCCAAATTAACCACATATGGTAACTCATGTCATGTCACTGGACCATCTGGTTTTGTATAAAAGCTCAATTGCACAGCCTCCTGCCACAATAATAAAATATAATAAAAAGATCTTAAGTTTTGTATGAAGAAACAATAGAAATTAGTCAAATTTATTACTACCTTGTCCAATTTTCTCTCAATGAACAACAATTGCAAACTGTAGTCACCCTTGGGCAGTTTTGCCGACTCCGGGTACACATCACCCATGGCGTACACACACTGTAATAATAAATAAATTAATAACTAAAAAAATATGACATCTATAGCAAGGAAATGACTTGATTAAAAAATAAAAATACCTTGTTAAAAAATAAAGATCCCCTTGTTCACATCAACTCCTTCTTCCAACTTGAACTTATAAGTCAAAGTCAACCCAGTGGACTGTCTTAATTTGAAACAAAATTCGGTTATTTAATGGGCTAGAATGTATAAAACTTAAGGATATTGTATATTGAAACTGAGGTAAGTCATGTTTTGTTACTTGTACTCATTTCCCTATAATCTTTGCCATTATATATTGAAAGCATATGACTTCTTTTGTTACTATTATCTAAACCTTGTACTTATGAAATAGTTTGTAGTTCATTATTGAAATTCATTATTTACCATTTTATAAGGATAACCTTTTCAGTGAAGTTATGATGTTTACATTAACATTCTTTATTTCTAGTGTGTGGTCTGCTGCACTTGAAGCACTAAATGCCTTTATAAGATTTTTTGTATATAAAGATGCTGTGAACAAGGGGATCTTGCTCCAACTAGTGCTATTATACCTTTCTCGGTACACATGGAATCTAAAAGTGTTGATGCTTTTTATTTTTATTTTCAAATCATAAGTATATATTTATTTGCTGATTTTTCAAACATAATGTATCATGAAAAACAAGGCATTAAACTTTATTTCCTCCTTAACAACCAAGTTGCCTAATGTGAAAGCTTCTATGGACATATTCATCAGCAGAATATTGATAGCTTATCAGTCACTTTCCGATCCAAAAGCATACAAGAATGATCACCCACAACTTATTTAAATATGCACAAGTACCTTCAGGTAAGAATATTTATGTGTGTTTGGCCTTATATGTTGGATTTGAGGAACAAAGAGTCTTCTAAATATGAAGAAAGCTCCTACTTAAGGATACTTTTGGACAACAAAGATGCTTGGTTAGGTTCGTGGATTCCTGGAAGGTATACACTTGTTACATACCAACTTTAGGGGGCGTTTGGTTTGTAGGATTTATCAAGAATTGGAATTCAATTCCGAATAATTTATGTGTTTGGTTGTATATAAGTAAGGATTCGAATTCAATTGTGAGCTACAATCTGAAGGTTAAGCTTTTAAAGGAAGAAACAGAGTTGGATAATTATTTGTTAGTTTTATAGGAATGTATAATCCATGTTAGCAATGTACATTAAATTTTATGCAATGGATTGTATTTTTTGTATATGATATTTTATTTCTATTATGAGACATTAAATGCAAATGTAATTTAAAAATTAATAAATATATAAATATTTTTTTTAGAACATTTAAAATTATGATACGCAAAAATGTGTGTCATCTTCATTTATGACATGGCCTTTCTTGACTGAGGCTTCCTTGATACGCATTGCGTGTCATAAACACGCGCGTCGTAAGGTTACGATAGGCGAATGCGTGTCATCTTCAATTATGACAGGGCCTTCCTTAATACGCATTGCGTGTCATAAACGTGTGTCGTAAATGCGCGTCATAAATGCACGTCGTAAATGCGTGTCGTCTATAGACGACACGCAAAAGTGCATCGTCTCTCGTTATGACAGGGCCTTCCTTGACGTGCATTTGTGCGTCGTCTGAGCGTTTTACAACGCGCAATGAGCGTCGTAAAAGGGCTTTTTTCTAGTAGTGTTTGAGCATTGGAATAAACCCGCGCTTGCTGGAATCACCTTATGGAATAAGATAGTAAAAGGTGATCGCAAGACGATAATATCATATAGTCTTAAAACCTAGATATATGGTTTCTTATTGGTTAATTGATTGTACATTGATAATGCGAAAATGCATTGGTAACTCGATGTTATAAAACGCATTGTTGTGTGTAGTTGGTTAATGAATAAGTAAATGCATATAAGTCGAAGTTTATCTGTAACTTTTATCCTTTGAAGGAAAAAGTGATATCTCGGCCGCTCGATGATTTGATTTGACTTATGTGTCGGGCCCAGTCAGAACTGAATTGATGTGTTCGATTAAGTTCTATGTCAAATAAATCAGAAATTGAGAAACCAAATGCTAGATTAACTATTCCATAGTATTGTCAACACGATATCTAACAGAGGACTGTACGATCCCTTATCTGAAGGACAAGATTGATTAGATCAGAGTTTGACAACGTCTATGAGAGCTACGATTGAAAATCCGAGTGCACCTGCGCATATAGTTACTAGACTTATCCAATTGGGAGACTGTTGGAATAGTGTCTAAGGCTGCAACTATATTAGGCAAGTATTTGACCCGATTATGCATGGTCCTTTTGGGTTGCCTTCACCATAGCAACTTGGTAGGATGATTTATTATGAGAGAATAGATATTATTAATATATTATGAGAATAATACAAGGAATAATAATATAGTTATTTGATTAATATAAGTCATAGATTAGTTAGTATTAATTTGGTAACTTAAGGAGATTAATTAAATAAGAGGGTATAAACTGTCAATTGTTTGATAGTTAAGCTTTAGACTGCAAATCCTTATTGGATAGGGGTTGGACGATTTCTAGGCTAGGATAAGCCTCAAAATCGTCCAAGGCATTATCTTGGGAAGGATTTGGATTGCTTTGAGTAATAGTTATCCAACTAGGGTTTGATTTGTAACCCTTAAGCAGTCTACAAGTATAAATAGACCCTATGGCAAAGGGAATTCGGTACCTCCTCTAAAGTAAGGATACCCTGGACGAATTCCTCCTCTCTCCTCTCTCTCAAATCATCCTCTTTGCTAGTTGGTGTTTGTAAGCCATTAGAGGACTGACAATTGTGACTCTAAAGCTCTAAGAAGTCTTGGATTCAAAGCATGTTTAATAGAGAAACCTAGATCCGAGCATTAGGGTTTGTATGCGCACTTAGGAATGTTCTTATGTACAAAACCCATCAATAATACCTCTGATAGAACAATACATTCATGATTTACCATGAAAAGAAATACGCTCATGATTTAATATGAGAAACAACACCATATGCTTCATCGACGCCGGAATAACAAATAAAAGGATAGTTCAACACTTGTTTTTGGTTGACTGTAGCTAACAGTCACAAGTGGGGTGGTTAGCCCGTATACTAATTATACACGACTTCCTCGCTCACACGGGATTAATGGTTACAGTTCAGAGGATTTCCACTAAGATCCCCAATCTTAGTTGATGAATACAATTACTCATGTAGACTTTGATGGCTTTCTATAGCTCTAACAACAAAAGCATCTTCATGTCTAAAACCTTAAGTTACCAGACTTTGATTTTAAACATTACTCCTAACTTCATAATATTTACGCAGTATAACAAATATATCATGAAGTAAAAACCAGGTTTTATCTTGACCTAAAACCAATAATAACAACATATAACGTTTCTAGTTTTATCTTGATATAAAACTAACAATAACAACATATCCAGTTTTATATTGACATAAAACTAAGAATAACTACATATAACATATCTATTTTTATCTTGACATAAAACTAATAATAACAACATATAACATATCTAGTTTTATCTTGACATAAAACTATTAATTGCAACATACTATATAACTTAACATATAAAACTTCCAAATATAGCTTCGGAACTATATCGCACACAAAATATATATACAATCCTAAGTATAACTCAAGATCTACATTAATATATTACTATCACAATAACATGTTAATAACGTTACGATAGTTGTATATTTTCATATACGAAATAACTATATCCCGGTTATTATAACTATCTATGTTGATACTAATATACTATCATATAGACATAATAATAACATACATATATATATATATATATATATATAATGACTAGCATGCGTTTTCCCCCGAAATATTAGAAAGTAGGGCCGTGAAACTCACCTTAATATCGTGATTTTATGTAATCTAAGCAGAAACGGTCAGCGGTACGAGGTTGTCACGGCTCGGGAAGCGAAACGGCTTCAGCAAACGAGACAAAGAGAAGAAATGGTGTACTAAGCCTTGGGGTCGAAATGGCTATTTATAGTGTGATTTTATGACACTCACGTCATGAGTCTCATAAGGCTCACGTCGTGAGTCTGCCTGATTCACTCCGTAGACTTGTCATTTGCGTCCCTAGCTTCGGAAGGAGGCCATGACTCCTCACGTCGTGAGTGTCATAAAGCTCACGTCGTGAATTTGGATCCTATCCTCTCGCAGCTTCTAGATTCCGAATTATGACAGAATGACTCCTCACGTCGTGAGTGTCATAAAACTCACGTCGTGTATTAGCTAGTTTAGGGTTTTTCAAAGCTGAATCTTCAGAATGCCATAACTTTTGCATACGAACTCCGTTTTTGACGTTCTTTATATGCACGCGTAGGTATTTACGAGCACTACAACTCTCTTTCAGACTTAAATAGCTCATTATAACTCTATTTTAAATTTATCTTATTATAGATATTTATAGTGTTCGGTTATCATAACTTCTTTATGCGAAGTCAGATTCAGACATTCTCTATATTTTTGGAATCGTATGGACGTATACTTTGAGTTGTGTCATAAAGAAAGTTCGTATTTGTACTAGAATTTATCATGAACTACATAACATTCTTACCACATTACTAGGTTAACATAATCACATTACATGATTGGTATAATCACATGTGATTGTCTATTGACCTATTTTGACTAGGGTTACACACACATA